AAAAAAAAAAAAAAAAAAAAAAAAAAAAAAAAAAAGAAAGGAAAAGAGGAGAGAAAAAAAAAAAAAGTTAAATAAAAGGAGAAAAGAGAGAGAAAGAGATAATCTTTTAAAACAAAACCGTCTTAATTTTAGCTTTAAAAATATCGGATTGGGCTTTGGAAGAATTCTATTAGGTAGGACAAAATAATAATAATAATAAAAATAATAATAATAAAAGAAAGACGATAATTTAAGATCAGAGGAGCACAATGGCGCAAGACCAGTGGTTCAGAGTCTCTTGCCAGGAACATGTGAAGACAACCACCAGGATTTTTTTTTTTTTTTCCCACTTCTGTTCTTTCACATTTTTTTTTTTTTTTAAATAATGATTTGGGGAGGGGGAGGAATCTAATAATAATTAATAATAATAATAAAAGAAAGAAATGAATAACTTATTGGAAGAAATCGGAGAAACATTTTTGGTGTCAGTGCTTTGATTTCTTGAGCTGCACGGTCTGTCTTACTCTGATTTGATTATTATTATTATTTTTTTTTAACGACGTCCTGTCTCCACCTTAGATAAAACAATCTTCCAGAGTGTTCTGAGCAACCCATCACCTCATCCCCCACTCTTCCCATCTCATCTCACCCCTTTAGCTCTGTCTAGACTAGGAAAGGAGGGCAGGCAATGCCCAGGCTCCCCAGACCTCTCTCTTGAAGACATCACCATCAACCTCTCATGGCTGCGTCTTCACTTAATGGCATCAGATGGGATGCTTTGAGTCATGGTAGCTCAACCCAATTAGCTCACTCTAGTTTTTAAGAATCCCACTGTTATATTTTTCCTGGTCTAGACAGACTCTCTGTTTAGATTGCCAACGTTTACAGGTGTGTATGTGTGCGTGTGTGAGTATGTGTGTGCATATGCTTATGCAGGCACATAACCCCTCGGGGTGTGCGTGTGTGCTATGTATGTTTGTACATATATATGTATATAGCTGGACATATACATATATATCTAATATGTGTGCATCAACCACACATATTCATGCATGCAAACATACCTTTGTGATTTAGTACGATGCCTTGTCTATAATGGGTTGCAAAATTTGAAAGTAAGGTCTGGTATAATGTCAGTGATATCTGATTTCTTAATTTCTGAGGTCTCCTCTTTCTCTAGGGAGTTTTATATTCCTAACTATGCCAATGTTTCAGTCCTTAATTTCCTCGAATAGAGTGTGTGTGAGAGATATCTTTCCCCATTTTTAAAGAATTGTTAACAGCAACAACAACAACAAAAATAAGAGTGATATGAGTATGTAATTCTTTCTCAGGAGTATGCACTATTTTATTTTCTTCTGTTTCCTAAAGCTTTGCCCGCTTGGCTTATGAGCTTCTTCAAAGAGGACTAGAGATCCCTACACAATATATCAGGTACAGAGAAAAAAAATCCACAATTCTGATATTCTGATACTTTTTTTGTCTTTTTTCAAATCAAAGCCAGTTGTTTCTGAATTCCGTAGGTGCACTTCTTTAAAGAAGCTCAAAGGGAATAATTGGAAGGAGATAAAACTATGAGTTGAAATCGAGGTGTGATACTGCAAAGAAAATAAGAGCTGTGTTGAATGTTACCTCGCTTGCTTTGCACCGGGGCTTTGTACCAGGGAGGAAAGGGCTGCCATGTGAGTTGGCTCCTCGTGATGGGAGCGGGGAGGGTTTGTCAGGGAATATCCTGGTTTCTCATCTCAGACTGATGAAATCTGCTTCTCTTAGAAAGCTTTTCAGAACTGTCTTGTGACTCTTGCTTTGGAATGAGTCAATGAGGTAGGGGGAAATCTGCTGAACTCCAACGTTTTTCTCGGTGGTTTGGTGTGTGACAGGATGTCTTATGCATATGATTTGGGAGGGGTGGGGGAAGTCTGATTTCTTCCTTTTTTTTTTTTTTTTTAGCATATTTTTTTTTATCTTATATGGTAAAAAAAAAAAAAAAAAGCTGAAGTGTAAGGATGTGAACTGCTGTTTGGATTCTGTCCTATTGTAATTGCATGTATTTCTCAGTGGGGCAGGATTCATGCGCTAATGCATCTTTTTGCTTATGTCAGAACAGTTTCTGGGTATGTGTGGGGTAAAGCCTGGCTCTCCTGGAGTTGATGGCAAAGATTCAGTGGGAACATGGCCCCCCCTAGTATCTCTCTTAGGTTTCCAGTGCTGCGTGCCATCAAGCTGAGCAGGCACAACTGATTCCCAAAGAGTAGGGAAGAGAAGCCGTAATCTTGGTTTAAGTCCTAAATATCTTCCAGAGTAGACAGTGAAGAGAAATAATTTAGCAATACACTTCTCCTTGGCCTCCAACAAAACTTTCTTAAAGTAAAGCTGATGAAACTCTTGATTTGTATCCATAACGCCCCAACTATCTTAGATAATACAGAAAAAGGAAGTATCAGCTTTCATCCCCCATGAGTTGGACATGTGGCAACAGAAGCCCAGGGATTGTCCTGTCTTGATCAGCCCCAGGGAGCACCCAGCCCTCGTGAAATGCTCATCATCCTTGGTCCCTGCGGGGCAGAGTGCTGTGGGCATTCTCATATGAGGAGAGTGGGAAACACAGGCAGGTGGGTTGCTGAGATGAGCTGGGATTGGCCTTCAGCTATGGCAGCAAGCAGTGTGTTTGGCAGTTGGCAGATCCCTGCAGATGTCCCAAGAGGAAGTGTAGATCCTTGGGCAATATAGATCTCACAAAATCCCTGCTGTGATGCTGGGGACCCGTGGACTGAAGAGCAGCCCTGGCCCTCCAAAGCCTTTTCCTTGCCCATCACTGCCCTCCATCCCCCTGGATAGCAATAAACTGGATTCCAACATATGACATGCTCTAGCAGCAGGATGCACGAGGAGGAGTAGGGATGTGGGTGGATGTCTAAGGAGAAGAATCAATGACACAACCTGAAAGCAAATCTGTCCATTGAGACTATTTTCTGAAAGCCAGCTCAGTGTCAAACATCATTTTGTCTTTGTGAGGAACACATGGATCCAAACTCTCCAACATCCCCAACCTGGGGGGGATGCTACACACCAAGGAGACAGCAGGTTAGAGCTGAGCCCTCTCCAGCTGCAGGGGCAGGGAGACATGGAAACCTACTCCTCATCACCCAGGAGCTTCCAGCTGAAGGTCTGGGGGGCCATGGGGATGCTCCTTGGTGTTGGAGGGGATGCTGGGGGTGCTCTTTCCTTTTAAATGTGAAAGGGCAACACACCACCACTGTGACCTAATGGGGAGAGGGAACTGCTTGCATCTTCTCAGGGAAAGATCTACACGTTGTGAGGGCCTGATCCTGCTGCTGCTGACATCTTCCCTAGGTGAAGGTTTGGTCTCCTGGAGCAGGACCTAAAGCCTGGGAAAGTCAAAGGGAGAGTTTCAGTCGACTCATGGCAACTTTGGATCTGCTCTTTGTGCCTCCTACCTGGAAGAGACAGACTGCAGAGGCCAGGCTGTGCTTTGCTCAAGCCAAGATAAAATCCCCACTGCTTTCAGAAGGACTGCCCTGTTCTTCTATTCTCTTTTTTTCTTGTGCTTCCAAAGTCCAGAAGAAAAACAAAGAAACAAACAACGAGGTTTCTGAATCAAAAGCAAGCAGGGAGAAATTAAGATGTAGGAGAGTACCCATCCATCTCTGATGGGAGCACACATCTATCTCCTCCCCAGAGGACACATCCATGCTTGATGGCTATGGGTGCTGAGGATGGGGATTCCCCACAGAGTTGATTTCAGCTACCCACTAGAAACTCTTTCCCTGTTGCCCTATTCTTTCCCAGCCCAACCACTCATGTTTGTTGGCGGGGTGGCTCGAACATTTATCTGATAATTGAGTCATTAAAAGATTCCTTTTTTCTCGGGATGGTAAATCAATAAACAGCAGGATTAACTTGGCAGCTTTGCTCTGTAACTCGAGGGATAAGTTTGAGGAGAGACTGAAAAGTTTGTTTTCAAACCAAACAGGTGGGTCGCTGTAAGTTTTATTAGCCTCGCTTTTCCTTTTCTTCTTTAATTACAATTCTGTTTGCTGTTAGAAAGAGCTCAGTTTTCGTCCTCTCGACTTTTTTTTTTTTCTTTTTTTTTTTCTTCCCTTTCCTGGTTGCTATTCACACAAAGTGTGAAGGAAACAAGAAGGCAATGTTATGGGAAACCTTTCACAGCACGGCAGTTTCTCTAAAACCAAGTGGTTGCATCTTGTCCCACCCAATGGAAGTTCTCTGTGAGAAGCTGCTCCAAGTCCCTTTGCATCCTGGTCCCAACCTCTCCCCATAGCCCTAAGTTTCCATGTGGCCTGGGTGGGGGATGAGAAGGATGGTGTTAAGACATTTTGCTGCCTTCCAGGGTTCACTCAATTCCCCCTCTCATATCTTTCCCATTGGTGTAACGCAGATCCATTTGGTTCGGGTTGAATACGGAGATTTTGGTGCTGGGTTTGGCAGCCCTAAGCATTGCCAGATGGATCCGGGCAAAAGTCCCTTCCCCTCTGGCTTCCCTGTGTGAAAGACCGTAGGCTTTTTACAAATAGTCTATTTTCTTATACAAAGATGAAAAGTAATAAATAAATACGAGAAAATATCCCCGAGCGCACTGGCAAACGCCGGAACATTTCGAGAGTGGCGAAACGTTACGTGCCAGCGAGAAATAAAGGGAAGGAAAACCAAACCAATGCAAAGCGGTGGAGGAAATAGAAAAATGAAAGAGGATAGAAATATGCTCTCCTTTCTGTGCCCCCAAATGATCCCCTTTCACCTCCTCTTCTTGAAAAAAAAATCTGACCACGAAGTGAGAAATATCGGTTTATCGACTCTTCCTGAGAAGAAACGCGGAGAGGCATTCG